TAAAGTTCATAACTTTTGGAGCCTCCGCTATAAACAAATAGAATTGTGCGAAAACTATTGCACCTACAGCGCCCACTTTTGGCACACTTTTAAAGTATGACAAAACCCTCAACTTGTCATAGGTTTTATAAAATTTTAACAATAAATGCGATAGTTATAAACAAATGAAAAAATGGGCACTTTTCTTGTTTTTTTGCAATAACTTTTTTATTTATTAACCGATATTAATTTAACAAGTCTCATTTTGTAGATAATTTTACTCCCTACAAGCTGTCCGTGAGTCACTTTTCGCTAAAATTGATGGTTTTCCCTGCAAAGTGAAAAAACTGTTTTCCTCACTTATTTGTTTAAATAGAAAAGTTAGCTAATAAAAGTTTTTGACTCACGAGACGAGAGATGTCTTGTATTATGTTCCTTTAGACAATTTTACAATAATCTAGCGGATAGGACTTTTTTCGAGTTTCTCTTTTATTTTCGCTAATTTTCCTGGTGTAAAAAGACACAGGATTATTTCTCTTTAGTCCAGGCGGTATCTGTTTTAAAAAGGGTATACTTGGGTAAAACACATATGATCGGAGATTTTTGCTTTAACGGCTTCTAAACAACATTAGAAATCATAATTTTTCTATGCAAATAAAAAAAAAACGTGGGCTTAATTATTATTGCAAAAAAGTATAAAAAGTAGCAAACAAATTCATTTTTTTCTTGAATTTCTCGTCGACAACTTAGCAACTATTAATTTTGGACAAAAATGGAACAGGGAAAAAAGTTTTGTAATTAAATTTTGATCAAGATAGAGTTAGTTGCAAACCTGACTTTTATTTTTTAAAATATCATATCAACATAATATACTAATACTATACAGAATTAGGAATTTGTTCTTATGTGGGATAAAAACGAAGTAATGCTCTCATAATATTTTATTCAGCCACGTACACATACGTACGTACATTCTTGTATAAAAATTAATATATGTTCGACATTATACTTATCTCATAAATGATGTCTATTAAACATCATCAGCATTCTAAATCCCGTGTCACACTATCAAATTCAATGGAACTAACCAAATTCCTTTTAAAAATGTTCTCTGTGTTTCAGTTAAGTGAAAAATGAACAGAAAAAAGTAAACTGACAGCCGAGAGCATTTAATAATGAAAAATCTTTAATATGGACCGCTCAATAAAAAAAGTAGTTTTTTGTAACCCACCAGAAACGCTGTATCTCTTGTTCAAACACAGTACTACAGATTCAACTCGAGAAGCTTTGCGGTTGTACAAAATAAGACTCTTTCTACTGGTTTCCATAAAAAAGTTCAAATAAAAACATTTCTGCACTTACCACGACACCACCCTCGCCACTAGCATGCCTAAAAGGATCCGTGCGTTGTTTTTGGAAATAGTTGCGAAGAAGTTTTCTTCTCTTCGCTTTTTCCTCCAATATTTTGATGGTTTGTTCGTTCTCTTCACAAGCGTTGGTTGACATTTTATTCACTTCTGTCTGACTGTCATAAGTCTACGACTATCAAAACTAATTGGTGTTTGTTTTTTGTCATAGCTAACTTAGAGAAGGAAAAACGTAGAAGAAAATAATTGACATATCTACAGGCTGTTACAAATTCACTTCTCACTACAGGGATCTCGGAAACGGTAAGAGATACGAAGTAGCTTAAATGGAGGCAAAGTTGAATAATCAGGGGACCAACATAATGCCTCTAAAAAATCAAGGCTAACATGATTAGTTTTCGAAATATTTGAAGCAAAATTCATTTTCAATGAATTCGTTCCTTTATCCAATAATTTTTTTAGATTTCTACAGGTATGTTTGTTGAATTATAATAATAAATATATAAATCTAAATAAAAAATTTGAGATATTTGGAACGAATACATTAAAAATGAATTTTTCCAGACAAAACGTCTGAATCTTCTTCGGGCTGAGGCAGTACAGTATTGGGGGTCATAACGGCCAGCAAAAAATGTAAAAACATTTCCAGGGTCGTATTTAAAAAAATGAAGTTGATGATGGTCTTGGAGAGAAGAAACGTTACATATAAAAATGATTATGCCATTCGATAGAGGGCAAATGTTCTTCTTTTTTCAATATTACCTCAAACAAGGCTGAAATGAAACAAAAACGGATATCCAAAATTTCGGATTTTTTCAAATATTTCGAAAACTAATCACGTTAGCCTTGATTTTTTTCAAGTCGAGAAAATACTCCAAGCAAATAGAGTTTTGAGTGTCGTTCGCGGTCTCAAATTTAATATTAATATATTACTTTGTCAATCCTAATTTATTTCTGTATATCTTCATTTTTAGTGTATTTTAATCACATTTTTAATTGTTCACGAAAATAAGTCGTTTTTTAATTATAAGATTTGTTATAACGAATTGGAATTGTATTTATTATTCACAATGTTTGATAAAAACAAAATACGGACCTGGAATGTACTGTTCACTGTCGGACCTAGATATGATAATCTGCCTTGGACAAAAATAAATTTATTTATATTTTTAACGGAAAATATTACTTCATATTACGTAAAAATCATTTGCAATATTATATAACAACGCTATTTCATCTTTTAAACTCACCGAATTTTAGATATGTATGTTGTTGTCAATTCCAAGATCTACCGGACTACCTTGATGTAATTATTGGCGAGAAGATTCAAATAGAAAAGTTTCATCTCAATTTTTCAGTGGTTACTCGATCTTCTAATCATCAACATCCCGGTAAGCACAATATATTTTAGAGTTCGAAGACTGTTAAAAAATTATTCCAGAATGATGTATGATGAGTTTACTTGAAAATTATCAATTTAGAGTGTAATTTATTTGCTTTTCCTTGTATACGAAATATTTCAATAATATTTTTTTATTTTCTTAATTTAAGCTAATGATTAACATTTGTAGCCGACATTTTAAATTATTACAAAAAAAATTAAAATAAAATTTACCTGATATGTTTTTTCAATAGCTGTTTTGTAAATGCTTTTTTGTCAGTAAATTGTAAATTTTTTCATAAATAAATAATTTTCATAACATTTTGGAAAACTATAAATTGTATTTGGTCAAGTCTTCAGGATTGCCAAGTTGTCAGTACTAAGAAAAATATAAGTACATATCTATTCTACATATCTATTAATCTACAATCTACAGATTGTACATTTTTAATCTACATAATATCATGGTTTTGTCTGAAAAATTTATTTGAAGCTTTTGTTTCTTATGGCAAAATCGCGAGTGTAATCTTTATTTTTTTTTTGTTTTGGATCTTTGACGAAATAGTCCAGTCGGTGTCTGTTACGAGATGGATGTTTTATGTATAGTAACGCTAATTTTTGTTTGGAATAGTTCTAAATATTATGTAGAATATAATTGCAATATGCGCCCGCTGAAATAGTTGTGCATAATTGAAAGCGCAAGAAAATGTTTAAAAAAATTTAAAAAAGCGCATTTTTCTCTCTTCTTTCATTTATAACTCGGAAAATATCGACGTTAGAGAAAATTGTCAAAGGAAAAAAAGTTTCGTTTTAAGATTCTCTTTAAAATAAAAGTAGTACGGAATTTTTATGTGCATTATTGTTGCTGCAATACAGTGTAGACCGAAAAAAAATTCGTGAAAATATATAGTTTTTTCATAAATTTACTTCGGACTTTGACTTTAGAGCAGCCATATAAAAAGTATGGTTCTTCGGAGTACTTCATGGTATGGTTATTATTGTAGACATTTTTTCATCGAAATTGTCCGGGTAGATTTCGCACAATTAAATTGTTAATTAAGAAAAATACAGAATTATACTTATTTTTCAATTCTCTGTCACGGTAAAACCAATAATATTTTGAGCTCCCAATTTTTGTACATACCCTCTGGAGTCTCAACTATAAATCGCCATTTAAAAATTTTCTATTTTATCCATTTTAGCAACAATTGGAATTTTTTCAAAATTTCTTCGAAAAAATACTTATAAATATTTAGAGCTGAAGTGACCGTATTTGCATATTCTTCAAATGTAATTATAGGATCAAATAGAGGAAGGATTGACGAACAAAATCCACTTTTGATCTTGTGGATACGATAAATTGTCATCGAGATATGAAAGCTCAAAGTTGAAGTGAGTTTACGGCAAAACAACGTACTGTACAATAACAATCAAAAGTGATTTTGATTGTTTGACGCAAAGACTTTATAACTATGAAAATTTGTTTAAATCAGAAATGCATTTTAACTGTTCTGATGCAAAAAAGACATTTCACAGACATCGAGTAGTAGTCCAGACGGTATCTGTTTCAAAAAGCCATATTTGGGTGAATCGTATATCCACGGAGATTTTTGGCTTTCAAATATCACTAGAAATGAAAATTTTTCTTGCGCATAAAAAAAACGTGGATTTAACTTTTGGCGGCACAATATGTTAAAAAAATTCGAAAAATGTCATATTTTTGTATCTTTTCAAGAGTTGATTTTAGGCGAAAATGGAAGAGGAAAAAAATGTTTGTAACTAAATTTTTTATAAAACATGACTAGTTACAAATCGAATGAATCATGATTATTATGGTAAATATCGAAAAAATGGCAAATATGGTGTTCAAAAACAATACTTTTTAAGGAGTTTTTTTGGGGTATTTAAATTGGGTATAGGATTTTTATACTTGACTCAAGAAAACTTCATGTTATGTAGAATCATCACATAAAATTTCAACAACAAAATCAGTTCGATAGATTTTGCATAATAATTTCCAATCCAGATTTTGAAAAAAAATTTGCAAATTTTCAAAATTTTGCACAGCAAAAACCAATGGCCTTAGATACTTGAAAATTTAATCACATATAAAAGGGCTCTCAAGCTTATAAACTTTTTTTGAAAAACTCGAATCCGTCAATTAGAATAGCTCTGGCGCTTGTTTAAACATTGGTCGAATTTTTGTACTTATAAACAATTAGAATAACTTTGTGAATATTCAATCAAATCAAATTTTTTAAAGCAGGTTTTAACAGTTCTTGGAAAGACGCCTTTTTAAAAAAAAAACAGATCGATTGGTCAATTAGTTACGTAGTTATAGCCGATCTTAAAGTTATTTATGCAAGCGAGAAATTCAATAAAATTGAAATCAAACAAATACAAAAATTCGACCAATGTTCAAACCAGCGCCAGAGCTCTCCTAATTGGGCTTTGGTTTTTGCAAAATAAAGAACATTTTAATTTTCAAACTTTAAAAAATACAAAGAAGTCTCTATTTTTCAAAAACTACATAGTTTTACATTTATACAAATTTTTTTTGTATTGGAGAAACATTATACCTATTCAAAATAAGTGCTAATCTTGGAGAATTGAAGAATTTAAGAATTTATCTCAAAGAAATCTTTGTAGCTGAAGAATGAAACTGGCATTTGACCAATTTTTTCTTGTAAAATTACTGACTGACAAAATTATTTCGTTACAAACAGAAAATTATCCGATAAAAAGGAAAACTCTTGTTGTGATTTTACTATTGATATAACTTCAGTAGACCGGGATTTGTTAGTATAATAATGACGTAATTGGTCAAAAAATTTATCAAAACATGAATGTAATAGCTTATATTAACTTTTTGATTACAATTTTGTGATAAATTTTATCTATTTGTTCGATAATAATACGACTTTGTAGTAATTTAATTGGGACAACTATGATAAATGTTGCATATCTGCCTTTAAGAAAAAATCCTCACTATTCTGATTATTATTAATACACAGTCTTCTGCTGAGTCTTGTTACTTTCAACCTTTTTCCAGGTATTGCCGATAATTTATTCATAACGATGATGGCCTTAACATTATAACATTTATAAAAATTCCATTAAATCTATTACTATGATGTAAAAAAGATGATAACATCACTTATAATTACAAACATGTTTACTTGCCGACATATAAGATGATCATTTTGTAATTTTTTAAATGTATGGGTACGGTATTGATTTGAGAAGAGACTGTTATTTATTTTTTAAGGATATCCAGTTTACTGAATTAAATAATATTAAATAAGAAATAGTTATATAAAAATTATTAGACAACAACACTCTTGTTTAAATTTGCATAAAATGCAAATTAAATATGATACTTGTATGTAATTTGAAGTAGAATAGACAAAAAAATATGTATTCATTAAAACTTGATTTGATATTAATAGTACTCGGAAAACATCATGAATAGTAAAAAGTAAACAAAACTTTTGTTGATTGTTTTTAAATTGTGATTACAACAAAACAATTATATTATAAAAAAAACATGTAAGAATTAAAGCCGATTAATCACAGAAAAATAAAAAAGAAGTAGTTTCTAGAAGCTGTGATATATTTTAACCTTTGCATAAGGAAGAGGGTAACTTTTTGCAAAACATTAATTGGGCTATTTTCAACATTTTCAGGTAATTTAATAAAACTAAAAAAGATAGGTCGCGCCATCTATTAACATGATTTATCTGCAAAATTTTAAATACTTTTGAGCCTGAAAAAAATGCTTGTAAAATGTATTTTTTACCATTACACTTTAAACTTTTTTATTTGCAGAAACCATGAAGATTTTCTGTTTAATCCTGGGATGTTTATTTTTTTCGGTCCAAGGCCAATTTGGTCTCTTGGGTGGGGGAATAAAAACTCTAGAAAAAGTTGCGACTCCTGTTAAAGGACTGCCAGGAGTAGCAAATTTGGAACAATTGGAGAAGGTGTTTTTACAAGACTGGCTTGATTTCGGGGTAAGTGTGCGGTGTAATTCACTTTATATGAAAAAATGAAACATTTATTTTAATAATTTATGAAGCAATAAATCTTTAATGCAAGACAATATACACTGTATTAAAAACTTGCAGGGCTAAGAGCTAATATAAAAACTGAATTTTCTCTGTACATTTTCAAGACAAATAATACATAAAGAACATAGATCTGTACCTTTTAAGAAGGTATATCGGGTTTACTCAAATGCACAGATGCACTTGAAATTTATATAGCGTATTACCCAGTGCTCCCTCTGTGCGTCATATTTTTTTGAAATTTTTTTTGAATCTAGATTTTGAGATATTGTTGTTGAAAGTAGTTCATTTTAACATAGGTTTATATGGCGAATGGACGGTGCGGCTCTTTTTTGCCCATAACTGAGAAAAAAATGTAGAAATTGTGAAACAAAACTTTTCCATAGATAGTACACAGTATTATCTTATTTTTGATATAAAACTAATGTAAGGTTTGAACATAGTACAGCTGTATTAATTAGAAACAGAAACCAATAATTGCATTTCTGTCTGACTTGAGGATTAATGTGGCAACGTCGCAATCAGCAGACAGCAAGGAGGGAATACATTTGGAAGACTTGATAAAAACGAAATTGATTTCAAACATATACATTTTTCCTAAATCCCATGTACATTGTTATCAACAATAAATTATCCACTACAGATGATTTTTTGTAATGTTTTTAAAAAACAAGGTTAATTAAAAGAGACTAGAAAGCTGCGATATATTTATTGGAATAAAAAATATAAAATACAGTTGATAAATCCTTTTAATATATTTAATGGTTTATAAAAACATCGTAATCATTACCTAGCAATATTTAGGGTCACATAAAGTTTTCTTTACTTGATTAATAGAATTAGTATCTAATAATTGAGATAAAAGCATTTGCACGGAATAACAAAGGAACATAAATATTTCTCAGCAAACTTATATCTAAAAAATTAGTTATAGTTGCAAAACTTTTGTAATATTACTAAAATAGAGATTAAAAACACGAACAGTGAGTAATAACGTAATTTCTATCACGGAACCTTCAAAATTGCATTCAACATTTTCTTCGATTTGGACGAGAGATGGGCGCGAGTGTCATTTCATTTCTTTAGAACTAAATTAACATAATTCTCGTTCTTTTACCAGTTCACATGATTTACGAATTTAAAAAAAAAGGATACAAATCTTCGCGAGGATAATACGATATATTTGCTATATATAATAATTATATCGTACATAGTTTACATACAATACATTTTTGAACGCGTACGCATCTTTACCCGAATTTGACGCGCAATATCTCAGATGTCCGAGGTCTGTAGGTTCGCAGTGTGTACAACTGCACTCAATTATTAGCGCTGTTGCCACATCTACATAATGTTTATGCGTTCATTAAATATAATTTAAAACTACTTAAATATGATATTTTTATGTTGTTAATTTTCAATATGTATGTTATGTGCATTTTGAGTAGATTTCTTTGCTATATAGATAATGTTTATCGCAAATAGTTTCAATAGAATTTAATTTTTTATATCATAAGAAAAGCATAGGACTCCCTCTGCGATGCTCACTTCCCTCGGACCCCGACATCCTCCTTAATATGGACTTAGCATTTTGACCGTTTGTTATGTTTCTAGACAAAATTCAACAAAAAGTACAACCCTGTCGAGGCACCTCTTCGCAAGGCCAACTTCCTTCAAAACATCGATACCATCACAAAACTAGCTACTGATAGCGTTCTGAGCTTCGGGTTGAAGATCAACGAATTCGCGGACATGCTTTTCGACGAGTTCAACGAGCTGTTCAACGGCTTCAACAGAAACGGCCAACTGCGACGTCACTCGCAGTCGTCCAAGGCGGAAACTTTTGTGCCCACAGCTGGAGAGTCCCTCCCGGAAAGCGTGGACTGGAGGGAGAAGGGGGCCGTTAGCCCTGTGAAGAACCAACAGCAGTGTGCTGGATGCTGGGCCTTTTCAGTGGTAAGGTGACAGTTTGATAAACTATGGAATTTAGCTACATTTCAAATTGCTTCCATGCTCATGGCTAATGGTTGTCAGTTAAAACGACTTTCCTTTTCGTCTAGGCTGGATGTGTGGAAGGCCAGAACGCCAGAAAGACGGGAAAATTGGAGGAAGCCAGCGTACAGCATCTGATAGACTGTGCTACCGGTCGATACGACAATGACGGATGTCGTGGAGGCCTTACCGAAACAGGTTTTGACTTCGTTGAGGACAATGGAATCAACAGCTATTCGGACTACCCATACGAGGCAGTTAACACTTCCTGTAGGTCCAAGGAAAATACAATTGCTAAGACACAAGGTGAAATATATTAAATACTTGTTCTAAAGACTATTTCCCGGTGATCAAGACTACGAAGTCTAATAACTAAATATTCACACGGCACATTATTAGTTTGGTGCAATTTTTAAGGGAAGTTTTCCAAATTCATCTCAACTATACAAATAATGATCGTCACAATTTCAGCAGTCAAATGTTGTGATAAGTAAATGTTCGGAAGGAAGAATTCGCTTAAGATCTAATAATTCACAACGCTTTTTTTGGTCTTTAAAGCAGCAGCAGTTTTATTTTGGCACTGTGTCGCTAAAGTCTCACAACAGGAGTAGAAAACTCCCAAATTTCCCGGATTTTTCTTTTGGGATTGTTCTTTGGGCGTTGTCGGTAAGGACTTTTTCATATGGTGTCATAATAGTTCAATGATATCTAGGTCGGGGTTGCCTGACGGCCAGCTCAAGAGTTTAATAACATTTATCCAAACCGTTTTGTATGCCCTGTTCAGCAAATGGATACTCTTTGTTTTCAGAATCTTGGATTTTGAGGCAAAAACTGCTGCATTTTTGGAGTCCAACAAAATTAAGTTTACTGTAAAAAAGGGAACCATTGCGGACTATTTTTATATTGAAGTAAAAGTATTCAACTATAATATGTGCAAAGTCTTAGCGATATTTTGAAAAAAAAGCTTTTGTTGGTCTTAGGACATTTTTTTTTAAATTCGTAAAAAATGTTAGCCTTCAAATGGCAATTAATGGCGATTAAATTTCAACGATAAGAAAAAGATCTACGTTTTTCGATCCGAAAAACGAAATCAAAGTTTCGGTAGATTTTTCGCATATTTCCAATTATTTCGCAATATGCGCAAAATTTGCACAGGAAAGTACAACTTTTAGAGAAAATTTTAAGCCTAAGATGGGTCACGTAAGTGCATTATTGTATGATTTATTGGAACTTGAAAAACATGTATTTTTTTCGAAAAACTCAATTTTTGCAAAAACCACCAAATATTTTATAATTTTAGAAAAATGCACGTATTCTACTTGCCAAAGACTACATATTTTGAATGTTTCGTAAAAAAAACTTTTTCCTTTCAAAGATATAGAAGTTATAAAAATTGCGATTTTTATCCGTTTTTTTTGCAATAACTAATACATTTGTTTATCAATTGACATTGGGCGCCCAGCTCAAAATTTTTGTTATAAAAAGTTCAACAATTTTTTCCTAAAATCTGTTTTTGCGAACTTTAGACGCCATTTTGAAAATGAAGCTCAAACATTCAGCTGGGCTAAAATAGATCATTCAATAGGCCTCTTGCAGAAAAAAAATATTTTAATAGTTTTTGTATCTACATTCTACACTGAATACTACAAAAAATCTGTAAAGGTTTTGTTATATTAATTTATTTTTAAAAAGTTATTAGATATTAAAGTTTTAATCGAATTTAAATCGAATGAATCATGATTATTATTGTAAAAATCGAAAAAATCGCCAAATATGGGGTTAAAAAACAATACTTTTTAGGGAATCTTTTTGAGGTCTTTAAATTGGGTTGGGACTTTCATACTTGCCTCAAGAAAACTTCATGTTATCACCCAAATCATCACACCAAATTTTATCAAAATCGGTTAGATAGATTTTGCATCATAATTTTGCGATACAGATTTTGAAAAATTCAAAATTTTGCACAACTCTTAGATATTTGAAAATTTAATCACTTATAGAAGGGCTCTCAAGCTTTCAAACGCATTTTGAAAAATTCGAATTCGTCAATTAGGAGAGCATAGAAAAATTTTCATTTCTAGTGATATTTGAAAGCCAAAAAGCCAAAAATCTCCATAGATATACGAATCACCCAAACCAAAACATGTACCGCCTATATAGTCTAATACTATTACTGGTGCATTGTACCGAGGTGTGAAAATACATTAGTAAAAACGCCAGAAAAAAATGTATTTTAAAATAAATTTATGTAGATATCTATAAATCACATCTTCATACCTGTTTGCTTTTATTCCCCTTATTTCTGACGAATAAAATAAAATGCTTTTCGAAAAAATTCTGCAATCATCATGGAATTCGGTAAATTGTCTAATTGGGCTTTAGCATAACCTTGTTAAGAATTTTTAAAAAACTGAAAACTAATTATGATTATTTAAAATAACAAATTTAGATTCAAAATATTATTTAGGTAGTAAATAATATTATGCTACCCGAGGAAAGCTCACTTGAACTAAACGTCGTAAAAATTAAATATTATACCTACACAGACTTAATTATTTTGCTACATAGGTGCATATTTAGGTATTCCTACATAATAGAATGGAAACCAGTTAATAAATATAACAGCACATCAGCATCGTTATCGTATCGTATCGTATGTAAACTAAAAATAATAAATGTTTTTAAGAAGTAATAGGACCGACATCGTTTTTTAATATGAAGCGACCAGTTTACTTACCAATGACGTCGCACCAATAGCAACTCGTTCTACGACACGCCCCTACAGGAGCTCATCTCCAAATTTCAACGTACGATTTAGTCAATTTTCGAGTAGAATTTTTCACAAAAGATTTTATAATTAATAATTTTAAATAAGGCCATATTTAAAAATGTGAACTAATATAAAAAATCCGGCATGTGCAAGAGGCCTATTCTAGGGAATTTTTCCTAATTTTTACGTGCTGAACTAAATTTTGGCAAAAAGAGGTATTTTCAACAATTTGACTGGCCTCTTTGCCTTTATTTAACGATTATAGCAGCCCTAGGACGCCTTAATTGACATAATATTGGGCATATTGCCTATTTGAAATTGTATAACGTACTTACCAGAGCTATAACAGACCTCTTTTTAGTAGTTCTTCAAAAACGTCTACAAAGGATTGAAATATTTGATCGCTCCCGTAAAGTGTGCAGATAAACAATCCCAAACAATTTTCAGGTTACATCAGAATTCCGGAAGGCGATGAAAAGGCCTTAGCCCAGGCTCTGGCCAAGTTTGGGCCCATATCCACCGCCATCCACGTTACCAAGAACTTCCAGTTCTACGGCGAGAAAATCTTCGACGACCCAGAATGTCGTAACACACCCGACGACCTGAACCACGCTCTGCTCATAGTTGGCTATGGAAAGGAGGCCGACGGCAGGAAATTCTGGCTGGTGAAGAACTCCTATGGGACAACCTGGGGGTTGGATGGGTACTTCAAGGTAGCCAAGGACGAAGGGAATAAATGTGGAATCGCGACCTATGCCAGATACCCCAAGGTTTAAGGAACAGACGAATGCATTTAATATCTAAGTTTATATTGCAGTTTTATTGTGATTTTGCGAAAAAATTTTATTAAATAATTATTAAATTAAAAAAAAACATAAACATAGTGACTTTACGTCTTCAGTGTCGACATTTGAAAAATAGAGGAAAAACTATGACAGCGAATAATATATTTTTTTAAAAGTAATTTTTAGCAGGAAAAAAAAATGGGTTTTATAGTGCCAACTATTTTTACAATGAGAATTCTAGTTGAAAAAATAAATTTACAGTAATTTTCAAAATAAAAAGATGGTATTTAGACAAATATTTAGGTACTTTTACACTTTTTCACTTAAAAATACAGACTTTTTATTGTTAATTTTATTCTTGATAAAAAGTTTTGCTTATCTTGGGAAATAATGAATAATAAACTTAAAAAAAGTAAATGCACGAGCAGGGGTGGCGGAGGGTTGATTTGGGGGGTTGAAAAGTTGTGAAAAAATGTATCATTGGAGTTTCTGGCGAAAATTGACGTTTAACAAAAAAGTATCCACTACAAAAGCTGTAGATCATGCAAAAATCTACAACTTTTGTAGGGGTCATTTTTTAAGATAACCTCAAAATTTCCGAGAAAAATGCGAAAAACGGTTTTTTTTTCTTATATTTCGTTATTTATTTCTCATTTCCGCAAAAATAATTTAATTTTGACGAAACTTGGAGAAAGTATACCTTTCTGTGTCTAAAATAACCACAAATTTTTGAAACACTTTTTTTCAAAAAAAAAATCTACTTAGAAAATCATCGTACAGAGTTCTGCTGGTGATCACTTTTTTCGTTTTGACATATACTTTTTGATGAAATACAAAAAACTCTAATCACAGTTCAAAAACATGCTCAAAAATGCAAAAAACATAAAAAATTACTTGCAACAATGATTTTTCAGTATCTAATTGTTGATAATTTGTTTAAATTAAAAAAAAAATCAAAAACTGATTACACCATTCAATTCTACGGAAAAAAATACAAAAAAAACTGTGTCTCATTGTTTGACGAAAACTTTATTTTTGTACAGTATCGTTTATTGTAAACCCCTTTACAATTTCCACTTATAAAGGTACAGGTAACAATTTTCTTTTTTGTTCCCTCTAAATGAGTTATTTCGATCGGTCTATTATCTATAATGAAGCAAAGAAATTATCTTGTGACGTGTTATGGAATCGGTAATGTTTCATATTAAATATGCGATATAAATTTTTAAAGAAAAGTATCCAAATGTTCGTAAGCTAATTATAAAATTCGATACCACTGGTAATGTAAAGAATATTAAAGAAATGAAAAAGAATAAAATGATAACGATGCTGCTACTGTTGTATTTGTGTACTGTGTAAAGACAAAGATGTCACTCAGGAAAAGGTAAAAAAATTTGAGTACGCAACAAAATCTGTCCAATCAAACCAGAGTATAATCGTAAATTGCAGGTAATTGTTTAAATATATATTCTTTACACAGCCACATAAATTTGAATTTGACAATTTTTTTAATCCAAGGTAATATTTTTAGGCCTTTTTATAGTTAATAAAACACTAGTGGAATATGAAACTAGCAGTAAAAACTAGTTTGGCTTGCGTTGTTTAGTATATGAAGCATTTTTAAAGAGGAATATCAAGTTTTCCTAATTACGGTGAAAAAGAAAAAGGTGGCCATTATATAACATCTCTGACTGCTGATCATTTATTTCGGTTGGATGCCTACTGTTGAACCATCTGCCTTTCTGGTTGAAAACTGTCGTAGCGATAAACTTTAAAAACGACTTTAACACTGTGTAACACTGCCCGTTATCTGGTGACTGCTGCCTGTAACATCATCACTCAAGGAGAAGTATGATACGGATTCCAAACCTGAAAGAAAATATTGGTAAATTCACACTGAAGTCAGATCTGTAAGTACTTTTGTAATATAATATGTGCCCTCCTCCAGGAAATGCAGCAATTCTTTCAACTAATTGCATAAAAACAAAGATATATGCGTATCTATCGTATTAATATTGTTTATATACTTACCTTATTTATAATTACTTATTAACACTAGAAATAATGTAATAGAATAATTTTGGCGACTTACCTAGCTAAAATAATTTATTGTGCTGAATTAATTTAAAGAAAATATATAGAGCTCTCTATATAAACACATTTTAATTAAACTAATTAATATTTATCTATTTATACTATACAAATTTATAGGTACCCAATATATGTTTATACCTGTTTATTAGCTCGAAGCTACGTTATTATTGTTTGTTATTTATTCAATTGTGGTTTACAAATCATTACTGTTTGCCTAGATGTAATTAACTATATTTAAATAGATTTAAGTAGTTTAAACAGTGAGGTTCCTTTATTTTATACAATTCCGTATACAATTGCCTTCACTTCCTTATTTTTGTTTTTGTCGATTTTAACAAATCGTCTGGCGCCCAAAAAGAATTTGTTTAATTTAATATTGGCATGAAAATAAGTTTAAAACGCTTTTAAAAAAGAAAGTTAAATACGAGCTCAACCCTGATCTCTGATTATGAGCAGTTGGGTTTTCTATTCTTCTTAAATAATATCTAAAGAGGATTATAACTGTTGAATTATATCATTTATTGATTGATCAGTAGAAACTAGTCAGTTATGCTAAGTTCATTATACAGGGTGTAACTAAATAAGTGTAAAACATTTAAGGGGGTGATTCCTCATCGAAAAAAAGATAGGATCTTTCATATAAAGAAACTTCATTGGAGCATCCCTTGTTAAGATACAGCCCCTTAAAGGGGGTACATAAAATTTGTTTAACAATTTTTTTCACAAGCACTAAACAAGTTACAATATTGAAATTAACCTGACATTTTCTACTACCAAAAAGACACTTAGCCAGTAATTTATTTGGTTTACCCCATGGTAGTAAGGGGTGGAAAACGCAACCCCTAAAATTTATTTCCAACGTAATTTTTTGTCTTATTATTTTTTTACCATTTAAAAAATTATTTCCGATAGCCTGTTTCATTCTAAAAAAAAATGTCTCTTGAATTTTTTGCCCAAATTAAACCAGTTCGCAGTAAAAAATTATTTTACGAACAACTACAGAGATACATCGTCATAAATGCGGACTGGATTTACTGTTATTTTGTAGTTACTACCTGCATTAAATGATTAAAGGGGAATAATCAAAACTAATTTAATAATAACAAAACATACAACATGTAGAAATCATAGTAAATGTTCAATATGTCTACCTTCAGACATTACGCATGCGTCTAGACGTCGGCGCATTGAGCCACGTATTCGCTCAAATATTCCTGGAGTCTCTCTAATTACCCTGCACGCATCGATAATGCGGTTTCTTAAGTCCTCTACATCGCGAACAGGAGTACGATAAACCAAATGCTGCAAATGGCCCCAAGTAGACAAATCCAGAGGATTGAGATCCGGGGATCGAGCGGGCCAATTCTGTGGTCCTCCTCGACCTATCCACTGATTTGCATATGTTTCAGTTAAATGCTGACGTGCTACTTGACTAAAATGGGCGGGAGCCCCATCATGCATAAAAACCATATCCCTTCTGACGCCCAAAGGAACTTCCTCCAGCAGTACGGGGGGATGCACTTTTCTTAAAAATTGAACGTATGCCTCACCATTTAATCGAGGAGGTAGAAAATGAGGCCCAATTAAATAATCCCCAATAACTCCGACCCACACCTTAAGAGAAAACTGTTCTTGATGGTTAGTTTCGACAATAGCGTGATGGTTTTCATCAGCCCATATGTGGTAATTATGAAAATTAATAATCTTGTCCCGAGAAAAACTACATTCGTCTGTGAATTCGATCGTCTTCAGAAAGTCACGATTTCTTCTAATCATTTCCAGCATCCAATTGCAAAATTCAAGACGGTTCGGAAAGTCTCGCGGTAACAGTGCCTGTACTCGTTGCAGATGGTAAGGGTATAAGAGATGTTCCTTTAAAATTCGAAATACCGTCATATGATCAACATTTAGCTGGAAAGCAATCTTTCTAGTACTGGTAGTAGGTTGTTCTTCTATCAAATTAAGTACTGCTGCCTCAAGCTGTGGTGTTCTTACTTCTCGATGGCGACCACAATCCTGCGTTCTTTTGTTGAATGAACCATATTCACGTAATCGTTGATGAAGTCAGACAAATATTCTATGTGAAGGATGCTGCCGTTGAGGATACATTTCAGCATATCTTGTAGAAGCTTCTAACCCATTCCCCTGCGACAGACCGTAAACGTAATGCATATCAGCCATTTCCTCATTTGTGTATGCCATTTTAATAACAAGTGAATTATTAAAGTAACAAATTAAGAACAGAACAATACACAATTAGTATTACTTCAATTTCAAAAATTTACAAACTGACAGCTTGATTCCAATTTAATTGTCAGTATCGCTAATGGCGGCCTACTAGATAAATTAGTTTCGTATTTTCGTTTTATGGCGATATGTATCTTGTTCGTAAAATAATTTTTTGCTGCGAACTGGTTTAATTTGGGCAAAAAATTCAAGAGACATTTTTTTTTAGAATGAAACAGGCTATCGGAAATAAATTTTTAAATGGTAAAAAAATAATAAGACAAAAAATTACGTTGGAAATAAATTTTAGGGGTTGCGTTTTCCACCCCTTACAACCATGGGGTAAACCAAATAAATTACTGGCTAAGTGTCTTTTTGGTAGTAGAAAATGTCAGGTTAATTTCAATATTGTAACTTGTTTAGTGTTTGTGAAAAAAATTGTTAAACAAATTTTATGTACCCCCTTTAAGGGGCTGTATCTTAACAAGGGATGCTGCAATGAAGTTTCTTTATATGAAAGATCCTATCTTTTTTTCGATGAGGAATCACCCCCTTAAATGTTTTACACTTATTTAGTTACACCCTGTATAATCCAAGAATGTCTGTATGTTTAAAGTTGAAGGAAAAATTGTTCCTCACTGGAAAAAGATTATTTTGCCCATATATCTTTTTCTATTAAATTGAGACTTATAAAACCTTACATCATGCAACCAGAAGCAAGAGTTCTGTTTTAATAAGTAAATATGTACAGGATGTAGATATCCATCAGTAAAA